GTTCAAACCCACCAGCCACTCCTCGGAAGGAAGGTTGGGCAATCTACTTCTGTAGAGATACTGCCTTGGAAACCCAAGGAGGGGTTGCTATGAGTTGGGTCTGACTCGACGGCATATAACAACAACAACAACAAGTGGCAGGCAGCAGGGAGTGAGGGTGGTGCTTTTAAAAAATATCATTCTAGTTAATATATGCAATAATGTACACAACTAGCTGCTCTCCAAATGAAATTTTTTTTAATCCTACAAATAAACTCTAGGTAAATATCCAGATATTATTCTCAAAAAACAAGATCTTAATAGAGATCACATTGAAATTAGATGGTGACTTAGCCAAACAGTGATTACTTACCAGAATGTTTTTGTTCCTTCTGTAATGAAAAATAATAGGCATCACTTCCACCCCAGCATACTGCCAGTCCAACCACTAAGATGTCATCATGGTCTTTAACAGAAAATCCATCATCTCTAATATTAGTTTCCTGAAGTGAACTAACTAAGGGAATTAAAAGTGATATAATTAAACCTCTAAAAATAAAGCCATTAAAGTGATAGTTAAAATAATGATAATGAAAAACTGTATTTGACAAATATTTAAACCTTTATGAACAAATTCATTCAAACCACCGAAATTTAGGAAATCTGATCAAACCTCTGATTTCCACAACAGGCTTTCAAACCGACTATAGCTATTCCCCACGGTCCAGAATCCAGAGCTCACACAGGAGTATAGGTGGTATCATTTAAACAAAAGGTTCAACTATCTCAAAACCTAGAAGAGCTCTGCAAAGCATGTTGTTGTTGTTGTTGTTATGTGCCGTCGAGTCGGCCCTGACTCATAGCGACCCCTCCTTGGGTTTCCGAGGCAGTATCACTACGGAAGTAGGATTGCCCAACCTTCCTTCCGAGGAGTGGCTGGTGGGTTTGAACCGCCAGCCGTCTGGTTAGCAGGCAAGTGTCTTAGCCATTATGCTACCAGAGCTCCCATAGGGATTCACATTTCAGCATAGAATTCATGACTATTACTGGGGCTCCAAGTTCTACTTAAAGTAAATCTTAGAAAATGTAACCAACACACATTCTGAAAAATATAGTCTATTTGTTATGTATTTCTGTGATTATATAAGTGAACAGGGATATTAGAATTTAATAGGAAATAACATAGGGCACTGATGATTAATAAAAATCATCACATCACAACATAACCGAACTGAACTAAACTTATTGCTGTTGAGTTGGTTCCGACTCATAGCAACCCCTCCTTGGGTTTCCGAGGTGGTATCTCTACAGAAGTAGATTGCCCAACCTTCTTTCTGAGGAGTGGCTGGTGGGTTTGAACTGCCAGCTTTCTGGTTAGCAAATGTCTTAGGCACTACACCACCAGAGGTCTTCTGTCACAACACAGGATACCACAAAACAACATATATTATCTTAATTTTTATAAACTTATATTCTAACTAATGAAGTATACATTGCACGCACCCTTTATACAAGAAGGTAACTATTACTAATCTAGCCATGCTGAATCTGAATAAATAAGGTTATTCTATACATGCCCAATCTTCCTTCTGAGGAATGGCTGGTGGGTTTGAATCACTAGCCTTCTGGTTAGCAGTCAAATGCCTTAGGCACTATGCCACCAGAGCCCCCATACATAACTATTAAGAATTATCATATATGAAATTTATTGACTTCTGAATAAATTTATTAAATTTAATATTCAATACAGAAAGGCCTAAACCCCATCTCAGTACACTACCTAGTTTACAGAAATAAGTGTAAAAATATATATAGATAGAGATACATATTTTAAATCTTACCTTGCTTAAACCTACCACCAATAGTAGTAGTTTTAGAAGATGTCAAACTACTGATTTTCTCACAAGCCAGTGAGACAGAAAATCGCTTTTTGCCCTGCCACTCCTTAATGAATGTTTGAAAGAGAGCCTGGTCACTGGCTACATCAATTATGGTCAAATTTTCTAAACTGCATGAGGTTGGAGTTAGGTATGATTCGTCCTGTGATAATTGCAGTGAAAAACTTGTATTTCTAATAGGACTGTCTTCTTTGAAACCATTTCTATTTTCTGCATTTAAATCATGGTTTTCAATATCTGAGGGTGAACCAAATGGCCAATTTTCACCAGGTTGTAAAACATTACTGGTTTTCCGAGGTTTTACAGAAGATGTTCCAAGAATTCCTGGAAGTGCCAGCTTAGAAGCCGATGCTGGAGTGGGTGTCGGAGGAATGAGACCATTATCATCATTACAAGGCAAGAGAGATGAGGCTTCACCATGAGTGATATTGCTCACTAGGGCCTCAATCTTGTGTTTCTCTTCAGTATTGGGGGAAAATGAAATTCCCTGCATTTGATTTGTCTCCAATTTTGAAATCTCTTCTTGTTTGTTATTTACCTCTACATTTTTTCCTTTCAAACTAGATAGGTTTATAGTTCTTGATTTTAGATTTTCATTTTCTAGAGGACTGGATACTTTATCTAAAATCCTTTGCAATTCTGGACTTAAATCAAATGATGCCCCTGACCATATGAATGAATTATTTTGCATAGTACCAGCTAATTTGGATTTTTGATCCCTTTTATCTTGATCTCCTCCAATGACTTCTGTACTGTGGTGACCATTACTTGAAATCCCTGGATCTCTTAGTCTTAATGCTTCAAGAGACAGTGCAGTATTGTGTTTCTCTTGAATAGGAAATAGATCTACATTGTCCAAGGCTTGAACCATCTGAACAGAATCCATTTCTGAAAACATAAGAGACTCATCACTGAAACAGAGCAATTGCTGCTGAGCATCTTGGGTCTCATTCATATTTGAATTTTCAGTTGGGCCCTCTGGTTGTAGAGACAGAGAATTATTGGAATGCTTTAGCATTCCTTCTGAGGGAAGGGGTTCTTTCACTTGTACATCAGGTGGTTGCTCTTTTACGAGGTAGTCTTCACTGAAACTGTCAAATAGTAAACTATTACTCATATTCAAACTTGTTTCTGAAATTGCCAGGCATTCTAATTCAATACCAGTGGGAGTACTCTGTTGAGGAACCAGGGGTATGATTGGTTTCACATTTTCTTGTGTTTGATAGCCTTGAAGAAAACTATTTAATTGGGAGTCAGTGACAGAGAGTTCATTCCCTTTAGAACAAGGCCCATTTTCCCAAAACAGTATTGGAGAATGAAGATTTGGACTTTGTGGAGTTAGTACATCAATCCCACGTGAATCAGTGCTTTGTTTCATGGTATCTACAGTCTTAAACTCCAAATGATCTGTCTTTGTCACTCCTACAGAATGCTGTTCACCAGGGAAAGTAATGTGAATCTCGTTCTGAAAGGAGCTAGTTGAGCGACTTTTGTCTAAGCTCTCTTGCACCACCCCTGCTGCTAGGGTGGTGTCCTTTGCTCCTTCTTGTTTGGCATTTTTAGTAGCCATCTGTTGTATTATTTTCTCAGACTGAGTATCCAGGTATAAACTATCTTCAAAATCACAGAAAGCTAATCCTAAATCAGGAACATGATTTCTTTTAGTTTTGTTTGCTGCATAAGCATCTGTTTTTTCTTGTTTTTGAGAGGTATTTAGAAAATTCTCATGATGACCTCCTGCTTTACCAAATGTTCCAGTTGATGTTAGTATTCTGTTGGGTATCTCAGTGCTACTTATATTATCTCCTATTGCTTGAAAATTATTTGACTTATTTTCCTCTACATTTAACTTTATATTTTCACATCTGATATTAACAACATTTGAGTCTCTACTCATATGATTACTTGCCACCTCATGGGGTATTTGTCCCTCTATTATTTTTCTCTGTTTTGTGTAAGTGTTTATCTGTTTATCAGATTGCATTTCATGGCACTGGTGAATTGGGTGGGTGTCATGGTGTTCCACATAAACATTCTTTTTGTTCAAATCATGTTGTATCAGCACATCATTTCCTTTTTCTGTATCAACAACAGCTAGTCCTCTTCCATTTTTGCTAACCACACTAGTAGCTTGAGAAGTCACTTTTTGACTCTCAGATCCTGTGATACAATGTTCTGCAAGAATATCACTAGTAACTGTTCTATTCCTTGAATAATATTGCTCTGTTTGTGATGGAAATGATGTTTTGATACATTTTTCCTTGGCACAGAGGGATACATTTTTAGCAAATGACTCTGGACTTCTAAATTTGATATTCTTCTCTAAGATTAAGGGAACTCCACAATGAATAGGATCAGACATAATCTGTCCTTGTAAATCAATTCTATGCATCCCAGAGTCTTTTAAAGGCCTGTCTCTCGTTTTTTTGAGACGCTTCCTATGTTTCCAAGATTGGAAGGTTGTGCTCAACTTATCTGAACTGAAATTCAAAGTTTCTTTTTTTGTTTTTTCAGATGAGAAAGTCTGAACAACTTTCTTAATGCCTGTTTTTCCCTCCCTGAGAGAGGTGCTTAACTGCTCTCTACTAATGTTCAAAGAAGGCCGTTTTCTTGCTCTGGAAATGGAATGTACATGACATTCTTGATTCCCATTCTGTAGCTTATGAGAAGAACCTGTATGGTCTCTACTTTTACCTAAATCTTGCACTGTATTTGGTGAATGCTTAACAGAAGAATCACTAATTGTTATCATGTTACTTTTTTTCTTTGATGTTGTTAATCTTTTACGAGAATTCTTAGTTTGGGTAGTGATCGTGTGTTCCTCAACTTCTGACCCGCTGCTGGTCGATGAATGTGTTTCAGAATTTAAAAGGGAATTTGGATTCCACTGCACTCCCATTTCAACTAAGTCCTGTTGCAGAAGCATCTTGGCTTCTTCCACTATAAGGGCTGCTGCTTCCCTTTCAGTTAAACCTCTTCTGCCAGCCACCCAGATAGTTTGCATATTCTGGCGTTCTTCAACTGCTTCCTCTTCCTCATCCACCGCCTTTCGGGCACTAAACAGGGAGATAGGAGAGAAAAAGAAACTAATGCATTCATTCATTCAACAAATGTTTATAAAGCTTTCAGTCTTAGATGTTCTAAGAACTGAGGAGACAGCACTGTACAAGATAGAAATATATCTGTTCTCATGGAGCTTACATTTTAGTCGGGAAAACTAGAAAATAAACAAATGTTTAAAACGCACCGTAAGTCAATTGGTGATAGAGTTGTATGAAAAATGAAGCTGGAAAGGGAAAGAGAGAACCAGGAGGTGTAGATGTTCTGCAATTTTTAAATAGCATAATAAGAAAAGGCCTCACTAAAACAGGTTATTTTAAGCAGAAGCCTAAGGAAAGTGAGAGGCATAAGACATTAATTGAAAATGGAATGTCCTCTACAATATGTACTCTGGACAAAATATCTGAAGGGACTGGAGAGTGACCAAAAGAAAGTAGAAACTGGAAGTGAGATTAAAAAGGAAGAAATGGCAAGGGGTGAATTTTCACACTTTTTATCTGAAAGCAGGCCCAGTCAGCACTCCGTAAGGTATGTTATGGTTTGAAATGTGTCCTCCAAAAAAGATCTGTGGAAGTCCTAACGTGTGAAGAAGAACTTGCTTGGAAATAGGGTCTTTGCAGATGCCATAGTTAACATGAGCTTATACTTGAGTAGAGTGGGTCCAAATTCAATATGAGTGATGTCCTTACAGAAAAGACGAGACAAGAGGCAGAGGCAAGAATGTGACACTGTAACAATGGGATCATGCTGTAGATGCAAGCTAAGGAACATCTGGGGCTACCAGAAGCTAGGGAAAAACAAGACAGGCACTTTCCCTAGAGCCTTTAGAAAAGATATGGCTCTGTTAACACACTAAATTCATATTTCTAGCCTCCAGAACTGTGAGGGGGAAAAAAAAATTGTCATTTTAAGCCACTCACTTGTGATAGTTTGTTGAGGTGGCCCTAGAAAATTAATATAGGATGGCTGAAAACTTGGAGTCTATATGATTGAAAGAATTCAGGGTAATTAACAGAACTCATGACAGAGTTCAGAGTATTATCAAGAGTTAGAAGTGGAAGAGTCCAGAAATGAAAGAGTCAGAGAAGAACAGCCCCAAATTCTTCATATAAACTCTGCCCAAATTACTGGCTGACCTCTAAACTAGGCCATGTGTTGGCAGATTCCAAGTGGTAAGATAAGTCCAAATAACCAGCACTCTGACTGAGCTACTACCTACCACAGGAAGACAAAGTTTGGAGTTTGGCTTCCGCCAAGGCAATTGCCTGTTATAAAAAAATATCAGTATCTTCAGGGTAGCATGATAAATTCTAGACTCTTTAAAAGGTCAAATATACATGTAACTGAAGTACCAGAAGAGGATGGGGTGTGTGTGTGTGTGTGTGTGTGTGTGTGTATACATATATATATAAAAGCTCTGGTGGTGTAGTACCTAAGGTATTTGACAGCTAACCGGAAGGCTGGCGGATCAAACCCACTAGCTACCCCTGGGAAGGAAGGTTGAGCAATCTACTTCCATAGAGATACCACCTCAGAAACCCAAGGAGGGGTTGCTATGAGTCGGATCTGACTAGATGGCAGTGAGTTTGTTTTGTTTGATATATACATATATACACAACACACACACACACACACACATATATACATGCACATATGTATAAATGTTGTTGTTACGTGCCATCAAGTCAGACTCAACTCACAGCGAACCCTCCTTGGGGTCATGAAGTCAACCATCATGTCATAAGGTGAGGTCCTCAAGCAGCCTATGGAGAGGTCCATGTGGCATAAAACACCCATTTGTCAACATGTGAATGAGTTATCTAAGAAGCAGATCCAAGTTAAGTCTTTGAATTACTACAACCTCATGAGACCCAAAACCAGAACCACTAAGCTAAGCTGTTCTCAAATTCATGACCCACAGAAACTGTGAGATAATACATGTTGTTATTTTTAAGCAACTAATTTTAAAGCAATTTGTTATGTACCTATTTAAAAAAAAGAGAGAGAATGGTGAATCTATTAAACTTTAAAGATATGGAAAAAAATTCTCAAGGCCTCCATGCAAAAAGATCAAATTATTTACAAGGACAAAAGACATTAGATTTCTCAAAAGTAACATACAAAACAAGACAACAAAGGATAAGCATTTTTTAAAAAATTCAAGTTGTGACCAAGGATATTATATTCAGTCAAGTTGTGCTTCAATTATCAAAGTTAAAGAAAACAGTTTTAAACATACAAGAACTTGGGGGAATTCTATACTATAAGCCCTTCTTGAGGAATCTACTAGCTTCATCCAAACAAAGGTTTACTAGGAATACTTTTGCAATAAGACTTATGGTAAGATGTATTTGTGTGTCTTAAAAATGTCTGTATACATAACAGCTAATGGGAAAAAGTTAGGATAACTTCTTAGCCACAGCCAAACATCCTGAGGGAATAAGTCACTGGGCCCACGTGCTCAGGGCCATGGTCTCAGGGGACATCAAGCTCAACTGGCATAAATTATTATACAAAAACATTGTCCTACATCTTACTTGGTGAGTAGCGACTAGGGTCTTAAAAGCTTGCAAGCAGCCATCTAAGATGCAACAATTGGTCTCTTCTTGTCTGGAGCAAGAAGAATGATGAAAATCAAAGATACAGGGAAATAATTAGGCCAAAGGAATACTGGATGTGAACCTCAGCCTACATGACCCTGAGACCAGAACTAGATGATGACCTGCTACCATGTCAATCACTCAGAAAGGGATCAGTGTAGGAAATCCTGGATAGAGTGGGAAAAACATGAGGAACAAACCCCAAAATTATAAAAAAGACCAGCTTACCGGTCTGATGGAGATTGATGAAACCCCTCAACTATGGCCTCTAGTTACTCTTCAGGCCTGGAGTTAAACTCATTCCTTTGTCTGCCAGACAAACAATAGACAGGCATATAAAGTGAATATTTACATCAGGTATGTACACTCCTTAGAATAATCAACTACAGGAGATCAGAAGGGCAGTATTTGCACAGAGAGATAGCTCAGAGGGCAGAAATGCATAGGAAAGGACACAGGGAAAAGGTAACCACAAGGAGGAAGTAGGAAGAGAACTGTTATATTACATGAACTGTTGCATGGAAAATCAATTTTCCCTGTAAACTTTCACCCAAATCACAACAAAAAATGAAAAAATAAAAGACTGATGGTAAGAATTTTAATAAGTAAACTTGTGGATTTTATATTTCCATCTCCTCTTCCCACAAAAGGGGGCTAAGAGTGGAAAATATTATATGCTGAAACAAAGTAAACATAATGCTCTGTAAAATTAGGAGGAGAAGGGAAAAAGAAAAGGAAAACTAAAACAAGTTCATTGATTGTTATTTAGACAATAGGTAGGAGTTAAATAACTTTAAAATTGTGACAAATAAGATAGTGGGAAAGTATAAAAATACCCACTAGGACAAAATCACATACTTCACTAAACTTAAAAAAAAAAAAAAAAAAAAACTCAAGAGGTACAGAAAGAAGCATAGTAAATGCCACATAATATATATAATTCCAATATGATTTACAAGAGGTGAGGCCAAACATATCATTCATATCAAAAGAAAAAGATTTTCTATTTGGTTCAGAAAACAAAGGCAACTACAACTCAAGATTGTACATACACTATTATCTATCTATCTATCTATCAAGTCATACTCTGGTAGCGTACTGGCTAAGGCACTTGACTGCTAACCAGAAGGCTGGCGGTTCAAACCCACCAGGCACTCCTTGGAAGGAAGGTTGAGCAATCTACTTCCGTAGTGATACCACCTCAGAACCCAAGGAGGGGTCCCTATGAGTCAGGTCTGACTTGACGGCACATAACAACAACAAAAGGGTGGAGAAAAAAAAATGGACAAAGAAATTCCCAGGCAAAGGGAAACAAGAATCAAGCAGTGAAAGACAGTCTGATAGGAGACAAAATAGAATTCAAGCCCAAAAGTGCTAAACACGGCAAAGAAGGTTACAATTTAACGCTAAGAACCACAACACAATAAAGAGCTATGAATATCTACATACCAAATAACAAGCACATATTTTTATGAAGCAAACAATTTAGGAGACAGAGAGAATGCAAAATAATCATGTTGTTGTCGTTATGTGCCGTCAAGTCACTTTCAACTCATAGCATGACCTTATGAACAGAACAAAACACTGCCCAGTCCTGTGTCAGCCTCATGATCCCTACTACTTGAGCCCAATGCTGCAGCCAATGTATTAATCCATCTTGTTGAGGGCCTTCCTGTTTTTCTTTTACCCTCCACATTACCAAGCATGACATCCTTCTCCAGAGAATGGTCCTTTCTGACAATGTGACCAAATTAGGTTAGCAAAGTCTGGCCTTTCTCACATCCAAGGAGCATTCCAGCTGCACATCTTCCAGATTTGTTAGTTCTTTTAGCAGTCCAAGATACTTTCAGCATTCTTTGCCAACACCACAACTCAAAAGCATCAACTCTTCTTCTGTCTTCCTTATTCATTCTCCAGCTCTCACATCCATATGAGGTGATGGAAAATACCATTGTTTGGGTTTGGTGCATCTTAGTCTTCAGGGGGATATCTTTGCTCTTCAGCACTTGAAAGAGGTCTTCTGTAACAAATTTGTCCATTGCATTACATCTTTTGAAGTCTTGACTGCTGCTTCCATTGGTGTTGCTTGTAAAACCAAATAATATGAAGTCTTTGACAACTTCAATCTTTTCTCCACTTATCGTGATGTTGCTTATTGGTCCCATTGTGAGGATTTTTGTTTTCTTTATATTCAGGTGTAACCCATATTGAAGACTGCAGTCTTTAATCTTCATCAGTAAGTTCTCCAAGTCATCCTCATTTTCAGCAAGCAAAGTTGTGTGGTCAGTGTATTGCAGATTGTTAATGAGACTTCCTCCAATCCTGATGCCACACTCTTCTTCATACAGTCCAGCATACAGATTGAATAAGTATGGTGAAAGTATACAACCCCAATG